GTCACCCACTCATCTATCTCTCTGTGTGCATGTTTGTCGTTTTAACTGTAATAGCTTATTAGTTCTCTCACTCCCTCCCCCCCTCCTCTCTCTCTCTCTCTCTCTCTCTCTCTCTCTCTCTCTCTCTCTCTCTCTCTCTCTCTCTCTCTCTCTCTCTCTCTCTCTCCTGCTATTGTAGCGTTCCCTGGTTAATACTAATTGACACTATCTTTTGATTTCTAATAATGCATACTCCTAAAGATCCGGTCATCAATACTATCTCATCAATAGGATCAATAATATGTGATTGTCAATGTCTAGGCCTAGATCTAGATTTAGTAGATCGTGAGCCTATGCACCCGGTGCTCGGTACCAGTACACAAGATTTATCCTCTGATCTTATCACTCGTCACCGAAGTGGGACTTTTTAAAAATCTAATGTTTTTCTTTTAAAATAATTTAGATCTAGATCTAGATAAATTATTGAAATGCGTTGATCAATACTTAAGTTTGGTAGATAGATAGATATATTTAGATCGATCTAGATCTAGATTCTAGTTTCTAGATTAAAATGGGCCCTATCCAACAAGCCCAGGCCCAAGCCATCGGGGCTCAGTCACACGCTCGCTGGGGGCGTGGCCTATTTTACGCGTGCTACGTTTTTTTAACAAAGGGAAAGAGGGAGCTGCAGCATCTTACCGTAGGGTGTAGTATCTTTGCTATTAACTCCGAACACTCTGAAATCACATCCTTTCCGCAAATTTCGGATATTATATAAATCTATAATTATAGTATAGGCCTACCAAAGATTGTTCGTATACAATATGGTTCAATCGGTCCAAAAAATGTCCGCAGTAAATGTTTATAAAGAAACGCTACAGTTCCAAACAGTTTTTCGCTACAGATATGACACGTTGCCTATGAAGGGTGCTGCTCTTAAGTTAAACTTAATGTGTTGTGTTCACTCGTGTGCTGTCTAGTCTAGATCTACGGAGGGTTATTGATAACGACACGTAGAACTAGCATAGATATCTGCGTTTGTTGCGGCTGCGACCAATCAATCGTGGCTCGATTTTTTGGCATTTTTTGGTCCCCAAATCGGAGGATGAAAGTCAAATTTAAAAAAAAGAAAGAAACCGAACCTCTTTACTTTTGAAAGAAAGTTCACCTAGCTTCACTTCGTCTCTTTCTCACTTGTTGTCACCACGTTGATTTGTTGAATACGTTACAGTTACTTTTATTTTTCCCTCTTTGTGGTATTTTATTTTGTTAGTGTGTATTTTTTTCTTTCTTGTTATTGTTCTGATGTGTTGTTTTTCTATCATTTTTTTAATGGGGAAAAAAAGGGGGGGGGGGGTATATAGTGTAACGTACCCGGTAATTTAATTTGATGTTCCTACCTTCATTAGATTCTAAATATATATATTATACATGTATAAATATATAGATTTAAATGTGTTATGTTAGAGCGTACGTTCCACCAAAACCGATCACATGTACTGACACTGGCAGGCCCCTTAAATTTGTGTGATTCCATAATTTACTTGTAATATCCTGTACTTTGTTTTAAAATTACGCACATTAAGTGTTAAAACAGCCAATCTTCTTCGGACAGGTGGACTCACGCCCTTATTTGTTAATTTTTGTGGTTGTTTATGGGCTGTTCTAATTTTGATTTCATTCTGTTGTGACACCTTACTTTTACACGTTTTTACACTCATCTAAAAATCTCTAGACTAGCCAGACTAGCTCTTGAAAATTGAAATAGATAGATCTAGATCTATATAGACCTAAAATTTTGTGTGTGTGTGTGTGTGTGTGTGTGTGTGTGTGTGTGTGTGTGTGTGTGTGTGTGTGTGTGTGTGTGTGTGTGTATGATATGTGTGTATGCATGTGTATGTGTGGGTGTGTCTGTGTGTAGTGGTGAGTGTGTAAATGGAGAGTGAGGAGTGTGTGTTTGTGTTTGTTTGTTCTTTGGGCTTTATCTCAGCCTTTATTGTAACAATACAAAAATAGAAACACAGGCGTCCCTCTCTTTCACTCATTCCATTCAATTCCCGTGTTCTCTCCCGTGGCTCATCCCCGTCCGCATGACTTTCACACCCCCCCCCCCTCCCTCCCCATACCCACTACCTTTCGGCCTTCCGGTCCCGCACACTCGACAACAGCTCTCGGGTCTCGCCCCCCCCCCCCTACATCGCGGTATCGGGCCCACTCCCTACAGAAACTCTCCTCTCCTTACCCTACTCATTCCCTTTGCCCCCTCCGACCCTTGGACAGTTTTGGCCACCCCCGGCCTTAACCCCTTTCTTTCGTTCGTGAGCTGTGGACCCAGGCCAGAGGGTTGGTGTCGTTGTTAGTTGATCGTCGCCTCTGGATGCACTCTTACATTCCCTTTCGCCCGTTCTTTCACTCACACTGTCTCTCCATCCACAGCTCAGCTCGTCATTCGCTCAAAAGTTGCCCACTGGTTGTGTTTGGTTAATGAGTGTGTAAGTTTGTGTGTGTACATGTGCATGATGGTGGTGGGTGTGTGGTGGGTGTTGCTGAAAGTTGTCTGTAGGCGGGTTTGCCATGCCGTGTCCCTGTATAGTGCTAGGATGTGTAGTTTGACTGTGTGTGTATCGTTGTCTTCTGTTGGTATTATGTTGAGAAAAATTGCTTTATATATATCTGCTGGTGTGTTGTGCGGTGCGGCTAACATTTTTGTAAGTGCTTGTTTGATGGGTGGTATGTGTGGGCATGAGAAGAAGACATGCTCTTCTGTTTCTTGAATATTTTTCTCACATGTTCTGCAGGGGATAATTTTGTTGATCCGTTTACTGTGTCCCTCCGATGTCGGCGTGACCGAGTAAAGGATACGGTAGATGGTTTGTTTCTGAAGGGGGGTGCTGCATTTAATA